GGGATGCTCGTCGTCTCGCTTAGGGGTGTAAATTTCGGATTTTGGTGTCACTTAGAGTGTTCTGGAAAAAACGCGACCATATTTAGCCGTGAAGGTCTCGTTTAGGTTTGCACGCGAAAAAATATAAAAATATATAATTCGAAAACGTATATTTTTGTCGTCTCTTTTAGGGGTCAAAAAACGCTTGGGCCACGCCCAGATCGGTCTCCTTTAGTGGTTTAATTCGAAATTTCAGACGAGCATCCCCATCCCCTTCATATGCGGAGTCCCCCCCCCCCCGGGAGGTCCCTATTATGTGTTTATAACTGATCGAGTTTCGGATTATTTAAAAGAGCAATGGGCACATGGCATATCATGTGACTTACCAACATGATACTCAAACTACCGATCGACACCTCGTTTACTCTCCAAACTTTTGTATAACCTTTGTTTTTCATTTGTCCTGGGTATTGCAGTTTTTTCCCAGGAGATATCGAGAAAACTGCTTATGCAAAATTTTGGGGGTGCTAACAAGGTGCCGGGAGATGTGCAAATGGCGAATGTGTATGTGATCTAATGCGCTTTACAATAAACAAAGAAATTAAATATAAAACGAACTATGAATTGCAAATGATTTACTGCCGCCTGACTTGTAATAACAAACTATTAAAAATATTGGTTCTAAAATATTAAATTTTTAAAAAGTATACTCATTAAAATATGTTATAAATTGGATAGCAAATGATTAACAGTACAACTTAAAAATTAAAATCAACAATCTTTCAGTCATGAAATATATAAATTCTAAAAAATCGTTATTAAACTCCCCATAACATTCATTTAAGGGCGTTCTGGCCTCGATGAATTTATGTATCTGAACAGACTGTCTGGAGTCACGGTGTCAATCCATTCCGTCATCAGCTTTAAGTCTTTCTTTAACAACTACGCTAACTTTTTAAGATCATCGTAAAAAGCTTCGTAAGGTCTGACGGACGTGACTTCCATTTGTACACTATCACCCATCTGCTTCATTAGAGGCAGCTCAAACGAAATGCGATCCACGATATAAGGGCTATCGACGCACATCAGAACGTGTACCTACAACAAAACAGTGAATAACTCGTATTGAAATGAAGTCCTACAGATGCTCTATCAATTCTCAGAAATCCCGATCGTGGACGATCGAATAAAAAAAAAAAACATTAAAAATCTGATGAGTCAAAACGCTTTATAGCTCAGTAGTTTCTCAAAGGCAAGAACATGACGGATGTCAGTAATCACAAAGCCGGAAAAAACCAGCGATGTTTTATATCAGTTCTGAAGGTCGCACAAACACGTGTGACACGCGATTTTGAAGCTTATCATATATATATATATATATATATATATAAAAGGCTGGAACAACTTAATTCGGCGACTTAACTTAGTGGAGATTTGCTGTACTATCCACAATCGAAACATAACTAGCCATACACGAAAAATTAAGGCTAGGCAAAATCAATCTGGGTTCACCAGAGTTAGGGGCCAACATTTTTAGCATCAAGTTGGAGTGACTGGGAACTAAGTAAATTGTAGTTGATACTTTATACATTGTGCTCACAGACGGGGCAATTGATCGGTGAAAACGCGGTGATATAAGTCTATCATAACGAGGAGTACGTCGAGGTGTGTGACGGGTAGTTGCTCTCGCCGAGTAATCATGGGACTTGACCTCAACCCTAGCTCCCTACCTTTCTTTCTCCGATCACTTTCCATATGTCCACTACACTTCCCTTCTTCTTGCCTCCTATAGCGGCTTTAGCTTCTTGAAGCCATACAGCCAGAAGTTCGTCTTGGGTTTTACCTGCCCAAATCAAACCAAGATAAGCTTGCCGAGACGAATAAAAACCATATGTATTAGATAAAGTTGTGTAAATCCATTTTATTTCGTGCGGTAGCCTAAGAATCGGGTAGGACTTGTGCCTTGCGGGACCATGGAAACTTTATTCATAAGATAAACGTTTAACTGCATTTATTGTCATACGCCATTGTAGCGGCTAGGCCAGATATTTTACCCTATTCCTCACTAATTTTGAATTAAAGACATGCCATCAGGTCAGTTGTAATATGCCAGATTAAAGACCACAATCCTCCAGGAGTTTTCGATCCCATGCTACCCTGTTTACCACCCAGGGGCCGGTTGCTCGAAGCCTGGTTAGCGCTAACCGTTGGTTAAGAGGTATCAAAATGTATAGGTTTCCATGGTATTTAACGCTGGTTAGCACTAACCATGCTTCGAGCAACCCGGGCCAGTACGCTAATGTAATTTCTAGATTTAACTAGAAAGTTCTTTTCTAACGCAATCTACTCAATTTAGTCACCAGGTTAAGTTTTTATGTTTACGGTCAGTGTACGTAAGTTTCTGTCAATTCCGATTTCAAGGAGCCGAGAAGCAAAGAGTTTTCCTTGTTCTAAAGGTTTTAAAAGACGTCACCAAGTTCTCACCGTCACCGTTTATATAAGATAAGAAGTTTGGCATTAAAACAAGTGAAACAGGGCCCAAGCCAGCAGCGTAACTGGTCGGTCCGCGCCCTCACTGTACAAGGGATCACGGAAAAACTAATCTTATCTGGGTATGTAACCAGTACTCATAGCAACACCTGTGTAATGGTATATAATTATAAATCCATCATTCTATCTGAGCAACATCAATTTTACCTGGGTACTCGATCATAATAGTTATCCAGTAGAACAATCCTGCCTTAGGGATTGTAGTTAATTCCTGAAAAGCGTCCTCTTCTCCAGTAACCTTCTTATTCAGCTCTGTAGCAAAGGCTTCATAGGCTCTTAATGGTTTCACTTCTAACTCTACTTGGTCTCCCATCTCTTTAACAATCGGCAGGTTGAATGACATTCTGTCAATGTCATCAGGATTGTCTACTCTCATAACTGACAAATGAAAGCAAAAAATGAAATAACGACAACAAAAATAAGGCGAGGGGAAATTTTTCTTGGTTAACGTTGTTTCAGTTTCTCATCCACAAAGTTAAGGATTAAATCGCCAAAATCCGATCTCAGCTTCAATTGCCGCATTTTCGTCCCCAGAGCAACTCGCCTCAATTTGTAATGAACCAGTGGCAGGCCCTCAATTCAAGACCACGCGACCAAGAAACGACAGGACTTGATCGGGATAAGGACGAGAATGCAATTGCCCTTAAATAACATTCCTTTTGAGGTACATGTTTAGGGCCTTTTTCATGGGATTATTGAGCCAAAAACAATGATGGAAACTATTCTTGACTCGACTGAATCGTCTTTATAACTCCTATACTGAGCAGCATCAGTGGCATTGTGCATTGTTTGCTCTTTTGGAATTAGAACCTTTAAATTGAGTGGCGCCCATAAAACCAAAATCTTTCCTGTTTACCAAGCCGCATAGCATGCTAGCAAGCTCTCCTATTTGGGCAAGCAAAGCGTGCCTCACGAGAACGCAGGCGTTTTTAGAGTAGCCTGTTCCAGTCGTTCAGATAGTGGGGAGCGGTGCGAAGAAAAAAGGAGCGCGAAAAATTCGCTTTCTTTACTTCGCATCGCTCTCCACCATCTGAACGCTTGGAACAGGCTATTTTTAGGGGAGTTGTGGGGAGGGACGAAATACGAGCTCCCCTAAAAACGCCTGCGTGGGAGGCTATCCTTCCCTCTGCCCCTCGCGGCTTCGCCGCTCGCTCGCGCGTTCTCGCGAGACTCATTTCACTCGTCCAAATAGGAGAGCTTGCTCGTAAGCTACAAGCAAAACCAGTTTCATTTTCACAATAACGATGTTGTCGTATTGTGAAAAGGATGTTAACAGCGTTTTTTACCTTTGTTTCAGTTACTGCAAAGAATCAGTATTACATTAAGTTTATTCCATGTTATCTGGAACATCCTTCAGATTATGGCCCTTCGGTGGAGGTGGTCGTTACACGCGGCAGTAACAACACTTAAGTTACGCACGTGTGGCACGTGAAAGGAAACGCTTTTATCACTCGTATTCGAGTTACCTCAAATATTGTTTCGCTTGCTCGCCGCTCGAAATGGAGCGTTTTCTTCCATAAGGACTTAGTTGGGGAGAAAACACTTGATCTTAGTTATTGTGTATTGATCAGCGTAAAATTTTCACGTCCTGCTTTGTGACTAGCCCCTGACTACAACAGGAATTTTATCTAAAGACAAGAATTTACGTCAAGTTAATTTAGAGAACTCACCATAAAGTACCTTGCGTTCCCCAACAACCTAAAGTAGAATGTAATACAAAAATAAGAATCAATAAAGTTACTCTTTAAGGCGCAGCTTTCTGACCAAGCTCACCCCCCATGCAACGGTTCAAAATTTTGGACTTGGAACGATTGTTGTCCAGGGCTGAGTAATTTTCTAAAAAAGAACAACGTAGATGCTTGTGAAACGTTTAAAACAACCCCAAAAGGGGTGAATCACGTTTTATGGGCTGAGATCAAATTCGCAATTAACCTCTAACAGGTGCCAAAGATAAAACAACTAACAAGCTGCTATTCTTGAAAGCTGTCTTCAATGGCACTAATAAAGTCCACTCGGTTAACGAGAAAGTAGTTTGCAAAAACAGAGTAAGGGTAACAGAGGGTAACAGAGTCCATCTGGAGAATTCTGACTGGAGGCGATTGCAATTGCGATGCACTAATCTTTGAGATAGTCCCTTGTGTTTCCAAGTTCAATTCTAGGTAGTACGGAACACAGAAGTCCGGCGATCAGTTATATGAAACGACGAGGCTTACTACGGCATTTTTATGGAGGACCCTTAAGACGCTACGAAGGATTTTCTTGACAAGTTTCTAAAGAATTATTATTTTTTATTATTATTTAAGAATTAATCTGCAGAGAAATTCGCTTACATTTGACAAATCGAGCTTAATAGATCGATAATAGAGATCTTTCACATAACTCCAACACCATGTGCTAATGAGTCACAATAAAAATTAATACTTTCTGTCACACAATTCGTGTTTTGTTTGATGGTTCAATTCTCTCTTGCGCGCCCCAAATTAATAAGGCAAAGTTACCCATGGGAAAACAAACCGCGTATTTTACATAGTGGACTTTTAATTTGCACCATAGATGCTCTAGCTGGAGTTATGATAGCCTGCGTAGCAGGCGCTTGGAAGTAGTGGGCGCCAGAAGGAACGGACGCACGAGAGTGGCGCGCCCGTTCTTCATTTGCACCCACTACGTCCAAGCACCTGCTACGCTGGCTAGAGTTATGAGAAAGATCTCTAATAACCTGGATTGGCAACAAAGTTAGAGAAAGAAACGCGAACTCACTTAACGTCTTCGCTATCGTTGCCGTCGTGGTATCTTACCGCCTCTTTTGACCATCTTGGGAAGCGTTTTAATGATATTTTACCTCTCGATAGAGGGCGACCACTTAATAGGTAGCGCCTAGTTAATTGACTTCCCTGTGGCAAGCGTTTTCGTCAAACAGGTTTCAAGCTCTTCGTCGTAGCTACTTGTATTATAATTAAAATTTTTAATATTGACCTTTTTGCCACCGATGTCACTATCTAGAGATAAATACGACTATTAAGGTGAATCTTTTTTAACACGTCCACAGCAGTCAACCTTCTCGATGGTACTTTCGTAAATCAATATTTCATGAAATACCACTTGTTTTGCTGTACATGTTTAAAAAGAATCTAGGCAACAAAATAAGTTATTTCTTTTGAACTATCAATAGATTGATTAATATTCTAGGCCTGAAGAAAGGTTAGAAACAATTGAAAGAAATCTACTGGACACTTTCAGTTACCTTCCAAAGTTGTAGTATTTTGCCGTCTTCTTTAGCTTTCAAAGACTCCTTTGCTTGTTTTGACCAGGTGTGAATAAACTGTTTCTGAGGTATTCCTTTATATTCAACGGTGAGCTTGATCAAGTAGAGTAAACTCATTTTGAGACGTAACAATAGCGAATGATCCCTTATAAAAAGTTCCAGTAAGTTTGTTTGAATACGCCCTTTTAAAACTCACTGTTTCATCGAATGGTAAATGCCAACGTTCGATGAATAACTTCAAAAAAAGATATACAAGCCGCTATAATTTGCATTTTGGATTCAAATGTGTCCTTGACAACCCTGATTGACACGGTCGTTATTGCGCTAACGCAAAAATGCACTCTTTGCAAATGAATGCAAATAAAGTCAATCAAATAATAAGAATCTATATAATATCACGCATAATATCCAGCAAATTGGAAGCACTTCAAAGTGGTCGGGCCGACCGTTTCGTTCTCAATTTTACCCGGAATCTCTATTTTAGCTATTTTTTTACGCCGGCATCCTTGCCTAACTTGGCAATCTAAAAAAAGTTTTGTTAGTCAATACAAAGACAGGCGCGGCAAATAAAAGTTTTCATCAGTGGTCAATATGTAACTTTCACAATTAAATCTCTTCACCAGTAAATAGGTGTTTCACCTGGAAAACATGAATTAAAGTTATCAGTTCTGAAATCTGCCATGCAGGCCGCACTTTCAGTCGGGAACTGTGATCACGGAGCATTCTAGTAAACGTACGAAAATTTTGACCATGTTTCACGACAGTTCATGTGAGTATTGAGGACAACATGGCAACTAACTGCTGAGTAAAGTTTCATTGACTTTTATTTGGTATTTCCTATAAATTTTAATATCGTACCTTTACCCCATACAGACACCCTGTAATTCCTCAGGATTCATACTGTTGTACTAGAACAGAGCCTACCAGTTACCTGTGCTCTAACAAATTTGTTAGTAATTTTATTATCTAAGCAAATGTTGTGCTCGCAATCAAGTCGGTGACAATTTTCGTTTCGAATACCAAAATACAGAGTCACCAGAAATAAAATGAATAAAACTAAAAACCTGAATACCAAGGGTTCTTCTATTTCCTGCCAAAGCATTCTTAATTGCCATGGCAGTCCGAGTCAATAATTCAAAGAGAGAAAAAATAAATTATTCTAGTTTTGACAAACACTCACAGATGTCAAGCGCATTTTCGTCATAGTTGCACTTCTTAAGACAAACTTAATTGACAGTGACGCACTTACACCAACCCACGGCCTGGCCAGAACCAGGAGCTGATCCAACCTCGTTCCCAGGGTTTTCTCCTACCCGCCCTAAGGAGAGAACCCTGGGAAGGAGGTTGGAGCCGATCCAGGAGCCCATTATAGGTTTCTGCCAGTGCCTAATAACGCATGCACACTACGATATCAGGCGGACAAGGGCAGCCATGGACAGCTGTTTCGCCCTTATTGGGGCTCATCAGCATGGTATAGCCGTCAGGCCTATCAACGGACAAAGCCAATAAGAGGGTCTCAATGGGGTGGTGGCTTTTACGGTTATCGGCTTAAATTTTGGCTCTTTTACGGCTATCGGTTAATTTTTTTCAGTTACGGTTAACGAAAAAGTTAAAAATTAACTTCTTTTGTTTCAAAAAGTTAAATATTAAGTCTTCGGATCATCTCGGGATGAAATAAGCTATTCTTTTGAAAAAATGTCAATAGTCAA